AAAATTCCATTGCCCTTAATATTTATGTTTTACCCTTTAAAAATTAACCATATTCTGAATTTCTAAAACACTTTCCTTCTACTAATTAATATCACAGTTTGGAAAGTGGCTTTTTATTCTTTTCTCCAGGCAAACAAGCTGAGAGTTTAAGTGATTTACTCTTTCTGAGAGAGGAGGTCACAGACAGAATTTCAGGATTTGAATCTGTACAAAGACCATTAAGGCAATTTTTCAGGGATTTAACAAATACCCACCTGGGGATGTTAAACTACCTTCGAAGAAAGCAACTGTTGGCCCACATTGAGGCCTACAAGCAATCCCATGGATTTTAAAGGTAAGGAAGATCTATATGAGGTGGGGTGACTTCTCTCCCACGAAGCAGCCATATGGAAGGCAAGTGGCCCAGTGAGAACAATAGCTGACATTTCCTGAGCACTGACAATGTGCAGGAGACTTTACTTACATGATCTTATTATCTCTCCAATAATTTGAGGTGCGTATCTTATCATCTCTATTTCACAAATTAAAAAATAAAAACCTTAGAGAGATGTAATAACTTGTCTAAGGTCAACGGCTAAAATTTGAACCAAGAATGTGAAGCTAAAAACTCAAGTTGTAACCAATACCCTCTTGATGTTAACCCTGTGATTATATCTGCTGAAGTCATTCACCTTCTTAAAACCAAATATCTATATGCACTCTGGTTCATTTACAGGATGTACCAGTCATAATGATTTCTTATTTAAATTTGAAAGCCTAGCAGATTAAATCTTACTGACTTCAAAGTTTACATTATTAAAACAAGACATGCTACATCATTATTTCTATTTCTCAGTTGTAAGTTGCATCTTAGAACAGAATAAATAATTTGGGGATAAAATGAATGACAGAGGCATTGATCAATTAAGAGTATTGAGAACTCATTTTTAAATCAGCAAAAGCAACAAGCTAGGTTTAGGGAGTATCTGTATCCATTTCTACTTCTATCTATTTATTTTTTTAAATACCATGATTGCTTTATTTTCAGTAAAAAGAAAGGGCTAGAAGTTATCCAGGATATTGCATACTTGATTGTAAATTCATTTTATTTAAATACAGACAGTTCTAATTTCCTCCACTATACTTTGTTTCTCCTACTCTATTTCTCAGAGATTTTTGTTTTAAACCTTAAAAAAATTACTAATATCATTTTAAAATATAGGTATCTATTAGCATGAAGCTCATCAGTATCTTATTACCTATGATAACAGTAGAGCTTTTTGTGGTAGTCGTACAGTACTAGCATACTACAGGATACTAGAGAGTAGTAGAATACTTTTGTCTATTTGATATTTACATATGAAGGTCTCATCTTTCAACCCTTGGCTAAATGTTACTTTATCATTTAGACCTTGCTTGTTGCTTTCTTACTTTTGCTTCCCAAAATCAGCAGATTTTTTTTTTTTAAAGTTTAGACATTATAAAATGGCTAATTTTGATTGAATTAGGTACCCTGACTTTTTTTTCCCTCACAGTGTTGTGTTAACATTTGAATTAATGACTAACATTAAAATTCTGGAAGTTTTACACACATATACATATTTCCCCCTTCTCTTGAAAAATCAGGAGGTCTAGGTATACTGAGCCATATTCCCTCATACAACTTGGTAGTGAATGCCTGCTTTATTTAAAATTTTTTTTATTATTATTATTTTCTTGTGAGGACGATTGGCCCTGAGCTAACATCTGTGCCAATCTTCCTCTATTTTATGTGGGATGCCACACAGTGTGGCTTGACCAGTGGTGCTAGGTCCATGCCTGGTTTCTGAACCTGCGAACCCCAGGCTGCCAAAGCAGAATGTGCAAACGTAACCACTATGCCACCAGGCCGGCCCGGTGAATGTCTGCTTTAGACAGGTTAAGTACTCCACATTTCACCAGTCCCCACTCTTCCTTCTTCTCTCATCTACCAACTCTCTTCTGTTGCACTTGGGTTTGTCATTGACTGTCTCCTCCATCCTGCTCCACCACATCTGTTATTCTTAATGTCTATAGCAAAACCTGGCACCTAGTAAGTGCTTGATAAATATTTATTTCAAGAATTTGGAGAAGATAGAACAAATTCCATTTGGCTTGCAAAGATAAGGCTTAAATAAGTGCCTTTTGGAGGTTTTAAAATATGTCCACAAATTATTTGGTACTTCTCCCTATAAAAAGTGGAGACTAATTCCCTTCCCCTTGAGTGGGAGACAGAGTTAATCACTCACTTCTAGTGAATAGAATGTGGCAGTGGCAGTATGTGTGATTCTTGACTTTGTATCTTAAAATATATTGCCACTTTCCCCTTGCTATCTTTTGGATCACTCACTCTGGTGACAGCCAGCCTCAATATCCTGAGGACACTCAAGCAGTCTTATAGAGAGAGTCACACACATGGCAATGAACTGAGGTTTCCTGTCACCAGCCAGCATCATCCTGCTAGGCATGTGCATGGGTCACCTTGGAGGTGGACCCACCAGCCCTAGCCAAGCCTTCAAGTGACTGTAGCTCCAACTCCATCTTAACAGTAAACTCATAAGAGACCCTGAGCCAGAAGCACCCAGCTAAGCCACTCCTGAATTCCCGACCCATGGGATCTGTGAGAGAATCAACACTTGTTTTCTTAAGCCATTAAGTTTTGGGATAACATTATGCAGCAATAGATAACTAATATGTGCCTCAAATTAGCCTAATAACTTTAGTTTTTCACAATTCATGTGTTCTTTTTGATGGATATTGATAACCTCCAATAATTAGGGTAAGTGAGGGCTCATGTTCTTCTTCCTGACAATATTACTGAATGAAAAAACAGTGGCAAGTCGCAGACCTAATTCTGCCACGCAAAGAAGCAGGCTCAAAACAATCGCATGTCCACTCTGTGAACTCAGTGAAGTCCCAGTTCTTTGTCCATTTAGGCCCTTTGATAGCATTTTGTGTGAAAGACTTGTTCTGAGACAAATGTGACCATGTTGCAATGGCAGGATATGCTAACCTTCTAGTTCAATCAGATGAAAGAATCCTCCAGTAAGTAAGTTGAGACGACACAGAACTGAACTGAGTTATAAACTTTAGGTGTCACTCAGAAGGCGTTCGGCTTCTGGGCTCACCAGATAATTATACCTCATCCATGCTAGAAGGAAGATGCCTGTACAAAATTTCCTGCCAACTCCACATCATTTCACACATGAAAACTTATTTTTAACATCTCTTATGCTAATTAATAAAACTTCTGGTGCGGATTCAGATGGGGATATTTGAAGCTCTTGGGGAAGGGGCTTCTCTGGGGTGTCGATTCCTGACTGCGATCCTTCAGATGCTGACCGAGTGTGGATTCTTGATTGGGGCACTTTGAGTGGTAATTCACCACACCTAGGGTGGTGCACAGACAGAACGCATATGTCTTAATGTCTCTTAATGTCTCTATGGACGTATTTTGAACCAAGTTATAGACAATATGAAAAAAAGAGATGTTGTTTGGGAAATTACCTTGATACAATGATAGCCTCCAAATAAGCGATCAGGCGAGCTAACTCAGAGGTTACTTAACTGAAAGGCTCACAAACCAAATTAAGATGTTCAAATCATATGGTTTATTGAAGCATTTTAAAACAAACATTGCAAAGCAAGGGGGAAGAGATGGCATAGGTTAACACACTTAATATAGGGTGAGGCCCACCCTATCTGAATTCTGGGGATATTTATGTATTCTCTCTCTCTGCCACATCAGTCTTCCCGGTGATGGTGTGTTTACGAGGACCAGAAGTGAGGTTTGAGCAAGGCACCCAACATACGAAAGGTCCCTGGACCATAACACTTGTTCTATTGGAGACACATCTGCGAGTACCCCTGGTCAACATCTGTAGCTTGCCGAAGGGCTAGATGAGCAGCCAGCGGTGTTTCTTGGGCAGAAAACCCAGAACCAAGATGACTGTCACTAATAGGAACCAATTTAACACCTTGTAGATTGAATATTGCATGATTTATGTACTTGGGGGCAACCGTTGTGTTAATGTAATTTCCTACACAACATCGCTTTTGAAAACCTTGTCCTTTCTGTGTATAGCAGGGATATTTGGTGCCTCTTGGTTTTTCCATCCCTTCCTACCTATGTTTGGCACATGGATTCCTCTACTTAGTTTATCTGTGTCTAATGTGTCTCATAAGCTACTTGCTTCTATGTTTAATTTCATCTCTTCTCCCTATTGGCTTCTCTCATTTTCCATCGCAGAATTGAATAATCTTAAATAATACAGCAAACACACATTACAAGAGATTATCATAGAATTAAGAGGTTTTCAAAAAAAATATTGGTTTTAGAAATGCTGATGGAACTTATCATATAAAATTCATTTAGCTTATCTATCTTTGGAAATAGCCAAGGGAAAAATCTGGGCTTTTTCGGTGCTTTGTTTATGTAGGGATTTTACCTCTAAAAGAGAGGGCTTTGAGGAAAGCAGACATTGCAGAATTAAATTCTAAGTGGGTTTGTGCAAATGAAAATTGGAGACTGGCTAATTCAATTAATTTCTATTCATGCCATCAGTGAAACAGGAACTCCGAGCATCGGATCAGATGCAAGAAATCAAGTGAAGCAGCATGCAGGAAGCCAACGGCTTTCCCAGAATCCCAGCCCCGACAACCACCAGAATATTTTTGGTTGAGTTGTGTCGATCAGCTCAGCACCAAGACCTATGGTTCATTTATGAGGCTGTACCTGCCATAGAACACATTCCACAAGGGGGAGCCGATTTGCCTAAATGAGTGAGTTATTTCACTTCATAAATCACTCTGCTGGTAATTCACCTGTTTTTCTTGAAACTCGGAGCTCTTTCAGCCACCTTTGACAATTCTGAATTGAACATAAAAACAGGCTCCCTTGGAGTGAAAGAGAACAGTAAGAGTGGAAAGCAGTTACAAGTAAGTTTTACTAATACAGAATCTTATAAATGGGTCCCCATTATGAGGTTCAACTGGGCAGTTTATTAAAATGTGCATTTCTTGGACTTACCCCAGATCTAATCTGTTGAACTAAAATCTCAGAGGCTGGAGTCCAGGAATCTGCATTTTTAACAAGCTACGTAAGAGGTTCTTCTGCCCATTGAAGTTTTATCAACAGAACTATGGAATTATTTTAACAACACTTGCAAGGACAGAGTTGCCTTGTGTAGATTTGCATAGAAGTCAAAGCCCTTTCTTATAAGTTCACCTGTTCACATTTAGAACCACAAATGGATGTAGCTGAAGTGTAATGAATATATTTTCCATCCTTATTAATAAGGATGGTAAGACAGTGGACCAATTTTTTAAAAACCTCATCAGTAACACCTGTAGAATATTTAGACTATTTGGACTGTGAGAACTCCTTTTGGTCGAGTTTAAATGGCAGAAGTTGGAACATAATTTCCTTTAGAGTAGGGTTTACTCCTCTAAATTCAAAGCCTAATTATTTTTAAAAAGCCTGAGATGACATTTCCAAATTGAGATTGGATTTCCTTCAATGCCAGTTTCACGCTTAGATTCCTTCCTATCTCTTCAGCTCTCATCTGCCTCATTCATTCTCGACGCTTCACCAAGTTACTAACCTATTTGGGCTTTGGAATCCTCATCTGTGAAATGGGAATAACAGAGCACACCAACTACTGTTTTCAGGAAGATTAGCAATATCCATTAAAATACAGTCCCTGATCCTCACTTCTTAGTTTCCTTCCTATGTTGTAGCCACTAAAGGTGCAACTCATCCTTATCAATGTCCAGGCAATCTCCTGAAGGAAGATTTTTTTTTAGAGAAAATAATAGGTAAGAACCAACAACCTTTCAATTATCCATTTGTCTTAAGCGGTAATGTACATCCCAGCAATATGCCTACCCAGATAATGCCTATTTCAGTGGTGCTGCAACCATTGAAATGAGAACTGCCCTCAGGGCAGAGTTTTCCAAACTATCCGGCTCAGAAGAATCACCTAGGCTACTTTAAAAAAAAATACAAATTTTAGATCTATTCTCAGATAATCTGATTTAGTATGTCTAAAAGGAGAGGGTGCTGGCATCAGAAATTTAAATGAGATTCCCCAGGGGAGCCCTAAGATTAGGTCAGGTTGGGAATGTTGCCTGAGGGCATCGCTGTCCCTTATTAAGCACAAAGCTGATTTCAATTGTGAAAATATCCAGCTGTTTTCTTCTCCTGAGAAAAACTGGTGTGAATGGGGTTGGGCAGCCAGAGGGCTGACTTTTGTTTCACTGTGACCCCCACTTAGATGAACTCCTTGTCCACTTCCTCAGCTGTGAAAATGAAGATAAGGGAGCTCCATGTGAGGGTGTGAGAAGATTGAGCTAAGAGCAGGTGTTTAATAATGGAAATGTATACAATTATAACAAGGGATTTTCGAGCATTCATTGGAGGTTTCTCAGAGAATATGTTAAAAAGGAGCACTTCCTGGGGCTGGCCTGGTGGTGTAGTGGTTAAGTTCATGCCCTCCGCTTTGGTGGCCTGGGGTTCACTGGTTTGGATCCTGGAGACAGACCTATGCACCACTCTTCAAGCCATGCTGTGGCAATGTCCCACAGACAAAATAGAGGAAGACTGGCATAGATGTTAGCTCAGCCACAATGTTCCTCATTAAAAAAAGGAGCACTTCCTTCCATTTCTGTTGTGACCAGTCAGTCGTCTGTGGATGCTCCTAGCAGGCCAGAATTCAGCTACATGAAGTGCAGTTAGGATGGGCTGAGCGAGTCCCTTCCAGCCACTGTGCTCGCTGTCACTCTCACTATGTCAGCTCACTGCCTGAGATTAATAGTGGCTTGTTGGTAAACTACATCCCAGAACTTGTCTCGAACTTTTCTCGTGTTCTTTGATGTTAGATGACCTTGGTGAAACCATTCAGGGAGTCACACATGTCTTTTGCAGCACGTCCCAGGCTCATTTGGCAGGTGGCAGCTCTGGGCACTGTTCCCACCGCCACTCATTCTTGAACTTGGTCTCAGAGACTCCATGTCACCTGCTGGGCATTGTGAAGGACATGCTGACCTTTTCCAAACTGGCAGAGGGTGGCGACAGAAAGAGCACTTGAGCGTGGACAGATCTGAATTCCACCTGCACTTCTGTGATTGTGTGTGTGGGGTGAGCATGTTTCCAAGCCTCGCAGCGTCCTCACCTGCGAAAGAGGCAGAGTAAGCTTCCTTCACAGGCTCTGAAGATTGAATGAGACAAGGGGCGAAAGGACCTGGAAGACTGCCCAGAGCCGATAGAAAACACTAACATTTTAGCTGTTCTTAATATTAGCAGTTTTATCAATTCTTAGATGGCCATAGTTTTTCACATTTTTAACCTCTTCAGGAACGAGGATGTGTCTTACAATTGGTGGCATGTCACAGTTTAATTGGCAGCACTTTTTCTTGGTGGCACATTAAAAAGTAGAATATTCTCCAATTGATGTCATTTTAGGTTGGATGAGAAATGACAGCAGTCATTGTCATAATAGTACTTGGATTATTGTACCACAGCAGCATGTGTATTCTCTGATGGAACCATTTAGCAATGCGTAGGTAATTTTTTCATTTTTTGGAATGACGGCTAGCCAATGAACTTTGTTTCTCTTTGACCTATGGATAAATCTGAAAGATGACTCAGAATCCCTAATTCTGGGGGGCTGCTTCGGGAGAATACTATCCTCACACTTAAAGGAAGTGCTTAAGTTCCTCTCCCGAGAAAGCAGACTGCTTTTGCTGCCCGCAGGGACCTGATTCAAAAGTCTTTCTTGGGGCTCAGAACTGTAGCGTGACAGCTGATTCGTTGTTGTTCCCTCCAGCAAGGGGTCGATAAATGAGTGACTAAGACTGAGTTGTTGTGGACCCCTGTGGCGGAGGAGGAGATAGGTAATTGGTTGTGACACAGCCTGATCATCACGCAGTGCCACTGTTGTGCACACCTGGAAAATCAGAGTGCCCCCAGGCCTGTGTGCTGACTCGTGTCAAGCCTGTCTGAAATCTGCTCTCCCTGGAGTTAACTATGTTGACATCCTTGGTCCTGCAGTTAGAAAGAGTCTACCTTGATTAAGCACCTACTTGTCTCATCCCCATCGACGTCATCTCATTAACCATCTACAGGATCTCATGTAACTCTCCCAATAGCCGTATAAGACAAGATGTAGTGGAATGAGGATTATATGAAGCAGCTGTAGAGATCTATGTTCAAATCCCGACTTCCCCACTTCCTAGCTGTGTAGCTTTGGGTAAGTTACTTAACCTTTTTGGGTCTCAGATTCCTATCTTTAAAACAGAGGTAGAAATGATACTTGCCTCTGAGAGTTGATAGGAGGATTAAACATCATTATCCCTGTGGGCCTCTAAGCACTGTGCTGGCACATTGTCAGCACTCATTGAAGGTTTCCCCAAAGTGGTTACCGTTGTTTCCCCAGCACCCCACATGTTGCCTGGCACATAGTAGGAGCTTAATGAAGGTCAATCTCTTGGAATTGGGTTTGGGGGGGAGCTAAGGGAGGCAGTGCATCAGCTGATGGATGAGAATGAAGTATTTTCTCTTGAGCTCTGGGCCTGTGCTGGGAATTGCAGAGGCCCAGGGGAACAATAGTAACGATTTGTGTCATCGTATTTATAGCTTACAAAGCACATTTGTATGCTTTCATTTAAACCTCCTAAGAAACTCAAGACAGAAAGGCTATTCTTATTAGTATCTCCTGAGGAAGCTGAGGCCCTGAGAGGTTAAAGAGTCAAGGAGCACCCAAGTGCCCCCACAAATGGAGGAGAATAATTACAGAGCAGAGGTTGTGGGTTTAGCAGTAAGGAGGCCCTTGGTACCTTCCAGGGAGCACATTCATTCTAGTGGTGGGGACAGATGCCAGAATTGGGGACTGAGGAAGGTGTGGTTGGAGAGGAAATAAGAATCAACCTCTTGGCAAGCAAAGCAAAGGAGAGAAATGGGATGCAAGCAGGATCAAGTAACGGCTTTTTCAAAATAAGGGTGACCTCTGTGTGGCTGTCCCTTGGAAATGGCTTCTTCAGGCTGATTTGTGATGACCCAGACTTAGAAAGGGATAAATCATGGCAGCTGAAGAATCACACTGAAAAGTGATTCTCTGCTTTGCAAAAGAATTCTCAGTAGACTGGGAAAAAAAAATCTAAGTGGTCAGTAAACACAGGAAGATATACTCAACCTCCCTTATAATAAAATAAATACTAGTTAAAGTAAGAATGAGAAACCATTTTTCACCAATGAGATCGACCTAGACGAAGGAGTTTGACAGTACAGAGAGGAGGTGAGGAAGTGGGAAGGTGGGGACTGCCATTCGCTGCTGTTGGGAGTGAAAGTTGGTGTACTTCTTGTGGGAATACATTTTGAGAATATTTACCAAATTTGAAATACACATACTCTTTCATCCAGCAATTTCACTTGGAAATTATCCTATAGATATACTTGCATATATGTGCAATGATATTCATTGGAGCATTGTTGTGTGTGAAAGAGAGAGAGAGAGAGAGGAAATCGCCTACATTTCCACAAGGAGGGAAATACTTCCGTAGATCATAGATATACGGTACATCCATCCATCCATCTGCAATTTCAAGAATGCCTGGGGCTCTCTGTCTCCTAACGTGGAGTGGAGTCCATCGTGTATTGATAAGTGAAAAAAAAAAGCAAACGTTTTATAAAATCGTGCTGGAATATGTAGCAAAAATGACTAGGAGACAAGAAAGGGTTAAAATTGTTTATTTGGGGGGAGGAGGAACGGAGGGAAGTGACTTTTGCCTCTCATACTATTTTCCTTTCTACTCTGTGTGAATTTTTTTTTTAAACCATGAGTATGTATTACATTTAAAATAAAATACTGATTTGAAAAATGCCCCACAAGATCCCTTTAAATCTCTAAGTCTCCTAATACACTTTAAAAAATGTCATTTATAAAATTTTGATTTATTTACTTTTTTTTCTGGACCACAGCTATGGCATTAAGGTACACCAATTCAGTTAAATGACCCATCACCAATGCGTTTCTGCAAGGACTTTCTTCTCTACTGGCCATTTCCTCTGCTGTGAAGACTAACAAATTGCCAGG